CCAAAATGCATTACACTTCATTTACAAAAAAAAGAGAAAGAAAATAAATCGCTGTTGTGTCTGTGATTATACAGTATTAGCCTCCACAGCAGTGTAACGTTTCAGGGTATGAAATTGCAACTCGTGTGTATGCAGAGAAAACAGGGTTGGAATGACCTGCCTGTTGCTCTGACGCAGGGTCTGATAAGACTGTTCCATGTGACGCAACAGTTAGCAGAAACGCCGAGGGCTGAGTATTTTTAGGAACAAGTCTTTGACCTCCCTCAGCACTGTCAATAACATTCATACACAACAATACTGGACAACAATGCTAGCCATAGTCAGGACGGGCAGAAAGCAAATAACCCTCATGTAAAGATTGTACAAGTAGTAGTATAAGTATTTTTGTAATAATTCTTTCCACACTTACAGGCAAAACCAACAGACCGAACTTCCGTCATGGTTTTGTCTTCTTCTTTTTTTATAATCTTTTATTTGTATTATGTATTTTATTCATCTGTTTTCTATATGTATATATTTGTTTCACTGTTCTAAGGAGGGTTGTGCATGACAGGCAACAATGCATGACAGAATTTCAAGAAAAGGAAAATGTAAATAGAGAAGAAAAATGTAAATAGAAAAGGAAAATGTTTGTTTAACTTGCACCCATTAACAAAGAAATTCAAAAGATTTAATCAACAAACATGGATCAATATGTGTTCAAAATGTGCCAGCTCTGTGGTGCTCTTTCTTTGGATTTAATCCACAACAGTGCATGTCATGTATTAGCACATATACCGACACCCACACAAACACCAGCCCAATAGTTTGGAGATACATTCAATGGAGACTAGAAGGGACTGTGACAGCCTTAACAAAGCAAGGGAAGACGTGAGTGTTGGTGTGTGCCTGGGTGGGACATGCACATGAGTATGTACTGTACCGATAAAGCTAATTGATTTCAGCTGAGAAGTCTGAGGATCACAGACATGGTGCCACAAAAGGAAAAAAAAGCAGCAAGAAGTACACAGCAAAGTGAAGCTAACATGCAGCAGTAAGTCCATATTACACAAACTTAAGTCACAGCTTTAAGCGCTGGTGTTTGTTTTGAAAACAGTCTTGCATGTTACAAGGTGGTTCGAACTACTTCATGTTGTGAATGTGTGCAAAATGACACTCGAAATGAAGCTAAGGAACAGACACTTGGGTTTACTGTACACAGCTGTTAAAACACACATACCAACCAACGCCAAGAGCAATAGAGCTTCAGACATAATCACATGGATCACATGTGTTTTGTAGGATTTGAAGGGATTAGGAGCCATAAATCTAAAGAGACAATCATGAAATATTTCATCAAGATGTCTGTAAGAGGAGCCTCCTTTTCGCTGGTTTATGACACATTCTTCTAGCGGCTACAGTCAGAAAATTATATGAGATAAATCTGAAGAAATATTTATATAACTTAAACTGAAAATACTCACTCTCATGTAGAACAATACAGTCGTCGCTTGAACAAAAGTGGTTTTACTGTGGCATATTTTTGTGAGGAAATAATTTGTGCGAAATATTGTTTTTGTTATTGTTTTTGTCTTCAGCCTGTTTTTTGTGAATTCTGTGATGTTTGGAATAATTTCTCAAATTATCAAATTATATTCTGCTGAGATCTTATTCTGATCTGATTTGGAACTATTTTGTTGGCATTTCCTCTAGATATGAGATTTATTCTTGCTTAATGAGTCTGTTTCGCCACAAGAACATTTTCAGATTTTACAAAGAATTTAACAGATTTCTTTTGAACAGTGACTAGATAATATGAACACCTTTCATCTTTGAAAAGACTTTAAACGAGTGCACCGGTAGCCTGATTTTAGTGGCCGTGCCCCATGTACAGAGGTCAAAGTCCTCCGCGGATGCCTGGGTTCGATTCCAACCTGTGGCTCTTTTCCCGCATTTCGTTGCCCTCTCTCTTCCCAATTTCTGACTCTATCCAATCCTTTCTCTTTGAACAATCAAATGTTTTTGCGTAAACTTTTTTTTTTTTAAATGACAAAACACAGTTACATGATTTGTATGAGTCCCAAATGAATAAGCATCTTGGTTTTTTGGGGTCGTGATTCTGTTGTGTTTTTTCCGACAAACATTTTTCTGTTTCCTCTCTCCTAGTCTAGAATTTTGAAGGCTACCTTGGAAATTATAAAAGAAAGTTTTTACAGCATTTCAGTACAAATTCAGGAGGCTCCTGTTGCTTCAGAGCATTGATTCAAAAAGCAAGCTCAAATCCATGAGAAGTACAAAACCGTATAACTTATAACCTGTTGATACTAGCCCCATGGGAACAGGGCTTAGGCAAGGAAATGGAATTATGAGCATCTTTCAAGAGCTGATCATGAATTTGCGCTTTACAAAGAACATAGGAGAAATGCCATAAACACAGACTAAGAACTAAACAAGATAGAAACAATACAAGATAGAAACAAATAAATAAAAAGGTTAAAACAAATAAAGTAGTAAAGAAGAGATCTCAAGTCCAAAGTGAACCGTTCCAAAGTTATCCAAAGATACAACCTCAAAAGTTTGGCGTCTACAATCACAGCCCATTCAGACAGAACTGTCTAACTATAAACATAAATATATGTTAATGTTTTTGATTCATTTAAAAGGACTCTGTGCGTAATCCCAACATCGCATGCCTTTACACTAAACCTGTTTATGATCTCTGAGCGTCAAATAAAAAGGAAAATATAAGATTTTTGGAAGAGGGCTTAGGTGATCAGCGATTTGACTCTGCAACCACTTACAGTGGCTTGTGAAATATATACCACTATCACAAACAAGATTTACTTCATGGATGGAAATAGATCAGCTTCTTTTACATTTCCCAGGAATCAACATATTAATTACACTAATAATAAAAGGAGAGGAGCCCAAGATAGAACAAACATGCAGAATCTACAGTAGTTACAGTCACATTTAACAGTCGACTCAACAGCACAGATTTAAATCTGCAGTACAAAAAAAGAGGATTACACCAACAGAAACCCCCCCGAGAGGTTAATGAGTTATTGGAGAAAGAGGAAATACTTGCACATAAGCATGTAGCAGTGATTGATGAAGCTGTTTCACTGTGTCACATAGTACACAAAACAATCACAGGAATAAACAGCGGTGCAGGGCTGCAGCTATCTCATGAGTTTCATTCACTTAACGATGGCAAACAATGTTGGAGCCTGTGATGGATAGCACTACGGTTTATCATGCATGATGCTAGCACTTTACTGAGTTCCCACGAATGCCTATAACCTAGTCCCGTACCAGTTATGTTAAAAAATAAGCACAACATTACAACCGAGTGTTTTGTATTCAAGCCGCCTTTTTCGAGAAGGTTCTGAGAATAGATTTTTCTACAAACTGAACTTTAAATGTGAAAGAAAAAGCATGCATACCTACAGTTACAGCAGGAGCATTTCACTGACCATCAGTGATTCATAATTCAGTCATATATTCCCCTATTGTCACAAGTAATGGCCTTCTTTTTATATCACTCGATGTTTCCTGGAGGACATGACAGCTAACAATCCACTATGGCAGTGCAGAAAGCAAGCAGCCACCATACTGTCCCCCCCCCCCCCCCAACCACCACCACCACCACGTCCTCAACCTTGTCACCCCACCCTTGGAGAAAAGTACAAAGCGTCCCTTGTGTGAGAGCACAGAGGCCTAAACGAGATGCTGCTTTATATCATAGTATTCTCCAACGGCTACACACACATAACGTTTTCCGGCCTAGGCGGTTCAGTCGGCTTGCTGACCTTCAGCCCCCTCGGTCCTTTGGACATGACGCACAATCAACACACTGTAAAGCAAGACTCATGTGCACTAAAGTACATGTATGGATAAATAAAATACTCTTCATTGGCTCTGCTGCAAGTTCACACAGTAATTACACTACGCAATCATAAACATCACAGTAAAAGAGACATTTTAAAAGCCTCCAAAGATGCAGCTAAATAATGACCTGTCAAGTCCGGTCAAAACAGAGGAATAACTCATCACTTAGCAAATACAGTATATAGTTTGGTAGGCAAAACAAGTGGAATTTGTAAGTTGAATTTGGTTAACAAATTATTCAAGGTTTGCCACTCCTCCCTGGCTCAACAAGAGCAGCATCTTCCTCTGAGATTCGTGCCTAAGATCACAGTCCTTGCCTCACACGCAGACCCAGTATGTTGTTAATGGTTGAGGGCTTAAAAACCCACTGCCCAAATTTTTTTTAAACAACATTTTGAACACAAGCAGTTAGTCTCCACAGATTCAGAAATCATGACAGGGATGATGATTCATTGTTTTGTTTTTCGAAAACCGGTTACATTCCGCACTAGTCAATATTTCTAAATTAATCTTGAGAATAAAAGGACATCATAAGGATGTAAGGTAGTGCTCACAGAGAGTTACTGTATCAGCTGACTCTACAAATCCTCTCAGCTGAGAGGCAACTTTAGCATCTTTCATCTAATTGTTTTGGTTCTGTCACGACTCCCACTGATCTCTGTCAAGGTAGCTTGCAACTCTGTTCAGCTTGAAAGCTGTGACAAACCAGTTACAGGCTCAGAAATTGATGGTGACCATATCAGAGTAAACTAACACTAAGTTCTGTTAACTACAGGTTAACAGAAGGATGCCTCCAAATGAATTCCAATGTTGCTCTTCCTGCTGGATGTGAAACAGGTGGACTTTATTTGCTTAGTTAAATGTTTTCTTGCTGGGCTAGACATACCTATGATTGACCTATATTAGCGGGTAGCAGGCAGTTTAATCATTTCAATTAAACTGCTACTTCACTTTTAGCCCTGCCAAAAGGGTCAATGAGTCAGAGGTTAAACCTCATTCATATTCTGCCCAAAGAAGTCACACAAACGTAAAAAGAAATATGTAGAACTTTCAATCTTAACAATGCTCCGTTCACCTTCAGTTCAATCATTAACAAAGAGTCATGCAGTCACATGTCAGGCTTCTCTTACCTGTTTCCAGAGGAACTCGTCTTCCTGGTTGATTTGCCAGGTGATGACCACATGTATGATGGACAGCACAGCTCCACTCAGCACTGCCGCTCTCATCCTTACAGGCAGCAGAGTGTAGATGATGTAGATGAAGAACACAGACCACCAGATGCCCTCTGAAGCACTCCTGGGTGCCACCATGTACACCCCGAACACCTGTACTGACACCAATACTCCTATCACCAGGTAACTGACCATCCACATGTAGTCCTGGTGGAAGCCATTACGGTTGCACACTACCATAAGAGCCATGAACAACGCCATCGCCACCGACAGGGCCGAGGAATAGGGCACTTCAGGGGGGGCGTGGACACAGTGGAAGGTCAGCATGATGCCACACACGATCACAAGTACCCCCATGAGCATTGTCAAGGAGCTCTGGTTCAGCCGAAAGAAGTAACGCTGGTATAGGCGCTCCAGTTTTCGAGACTGGAATTTTTTCGACTGGAACACCTGCACCACCCTGAGCCAGCAGTCTGCAGCTGTCACCACACCTGCTGCGCCATTGGGACCCTCATCGCCAACATCTCCACTTCCTCCGTTACATCCACCTTTCCTCCCTTTCAACTCCCCGTCCTCAAAGCCCAAGTCGACCGACTTCAGGCCCACCCCTTCCCCTCCCCCTCCCCTTTTGCCGTAGTGGTCCTCCTGCCAACCGCAACGGACACCAAAGTTTCCCCCGCCTCCCATGGCCCCCGCCACCCCTCCTCGGTGGTGCTGATGGAGGGGGGCTCCAGAAGGGGGCTCCATAACATCTGGGTCCCGCAGACAGCTCATGTAACGCGGGTTGCAGAGAGATGAGCCTCCCTTCCGTTTGGATTTCTTGCCATTGCGCTCCCCCCACGCAGTCTTGCGGTCGTCCACTCTAGCAACTAGGAAACCACTGAACCAGGACATTCTGTATGAGAGGAGAGATAACATTCAGTACAAAGACAAGTCAAAGATGGATAGAAGCTAAAGCTCAGATACCGTGGGAAGCAAACAAACCTCCTTGCATATTTACCTGTTGGGGTTCTGGTACATGTCCCAGCCCTTTCCTTTGCAGCCGGTTCACTCATTTATCCCAGTGGACAAATTTTTGAAGAAGTGCTGAGGGATTCGTAGAGGCCACACTGCAGGGACGCAGGGTGTGGTCTGACTGGATTCGGCGAAGAGTCTCACCAGTTGCTTCACAACCCTCCTGACGTTTTCGTTGCAGCCAGTGAGCAGAGACCAAGGTTATTGAGAAGACCAATCTCTGCTGTGAGGACTATCTCCACGGATTCTGCTGGGTGAACACAAAGTGATGTCAGGATTCAGATTTAAAAACATGATGGTCTTTAAAGAACAGGCATGGCTTTCATCAAGATCTTGAAATTGTCATTTTAAAAATAGACTCTTGGACTAAATTGTCCATAAGAAGGACATGAAACTCATTTCCTGGAGAATCAGAAACGCTTAATTCTAATCTATAAGGACGGGGGTAGCATGACCCAAAATAGCTTGAAGGCTTGTTTTTTTTTAAGGTGAAACAGAACTGGCTACCTTTGACCCCACTGCAAAACCATGTGCCACACAACAGCATTTTGGAGCTTTCTGGTCTGAAAATACAGAACCGAAAGGCTCTTTTTATTATCACAATCAAAGATAAAGCCGAGTAATAAATACAGATAAATGCCAACTAGACAACAGGTCACTGTCAAGACAAATATCAAGACAGCAATGAGACACATAGCATGACAGGATCTGTGGGTCCTGAGGCACCAGACCAGAAGTTGTTTAGAAATAACTTGAAAAACAAGCTTCTTCCCTGTTGACATTTAAAAACATATATCACAAACATTCATGACACTCTATTAGTTTGGTGTTGCTTCATGTGTAAAATAAAATGCTTACAGCCCCACAATATGAGAGAGTAACCGAGGTGTTAAAACTATTTGTAATGTAGTACCAGTACCTGACTGTTTTGTAGTTCAGTAGTTCATATATCTAATCTATCTTGCCTCTGTCATGTTTAAGGTTAGTGTTGTCTTGTATGGACAATGTCACATTTTTTAATACATGAGGTTTTGAGTCTATACTTCTCTCATCAGTTTAATGTATTCAGTCACAGTGGGCCACAGCCATGCCTGCTTTTAATAACATCATACAAGAAAATGATCACAATGTGTTCCACACAGTGAGGTGTGCAGATTTTAAAATTCTGTAAACAAGCTGTGGTATCAGCAGAGATGCAAAGTAACAAAAAACAAGTGGTTTGTTTCTACTCAATGAGAGTTTTTAGGTATCTGTACTTTTCTTGTATGTATGTATGTATGTATGTATGTGTGTGTGTGTGTGTGTGTGTGTGTGTGTACTTTCTTCTCCTTACATTTTCAAAACGGGCTCTTATTTTAGCATAAATGAGTTCCCTGGAAATTGGAATTGTTTTTTTTATTATAAAGATGTATGCAGCTTTCCCAACACCAATGCTGATTTCAACCTCGATTGATACGGAGTAATAGACCAAAACAACACATTAGACACATGAAGATGAAGCAGTGGAGACATCTGGTGAATGTATAAAGTTTTAGTCCAACATATAGAACTAGTAGCAAAGTAGTAAAGAAGTGCAACATCCCATAAAGTGTTTAAATGATTAAAGTTAGGTCGTCTCCCTGATATGATGTGAGGGTCAGTTAGTTTTGCAGGTTGAAATGTCCTTCAGAGAACTACTTTTTTGCTGCGTGTACATTTCAACGCCTGCTTTTTTTTGTAGTTTTCCGAGACCATAAATACCAATGCTTCTAACTAAGAAAAGAGTGTGTACATTTGTCCACCAGGGTGTCAACCAAGGAATCTGTATCAGTAAGACCTGGTTGAGTTATCAGAAGATAAAAAAAAAAAAACAGATCAGTGCATTCATTAATTCCTGACAAGAAAAAAAAACTGTCCTTATAGTCCACTTAATGTGAGGATGTCTTTGACATTTGATATAGGTTCATACTAACCTGATCACAGTATCTATGTCTCATACATTTGAATACAAACCCTGCAGAATTCGGTAGTTCTCATAAAAGTAGAGCCGACTGTATTGCATTCATAGCTCCCGCCTGGTTGAATTTTAAAACCTCCACATATGGCTCTACCAGCTGATCTTACCAGGCTTCCAGACACCCTGAGCTCTACACAGTGCAGGGAGAGGCGCAAAAGCAACGCTTCTGCAGCTGCAGCCGCCGCCGCCGCCTCCTTCTCGACCGGCATTTTCCCCCATACAGCACGCTGTGTTGTTGAAGCAAAAATAGCATTTCCTCGCTATATCTTGCCTGCATGCGCCTTCTCTGGCACGTATCCGTCCGAGCCGTATCTCTCCTCCCAGGCAGCGGATCGACAAAATTCAAGGAGAGCCAGCCCACCCTCTCTCTCCCTCTTTCTCTCTCTCACACACACACACACACACACACACAAACACACACCTCCCCTCTCCTCCCACCTCCAGCACCTCCTCCTACCCGGCTGCGTCCCTCACTCCCCTGCACAAGGTCGACCAGCTTGTACCCATTTGCGAACGTCGCGGTGTTGCCAGTCGCTTGGTGTGAGTGCATGGTGCTTGGCTGTACTCCGGTTTCCCCCACTAGCGTTAGAAGAGGGGAGGGGAGGCAGAGAATTGGGAAGGCGGGGGTGGGGGGGGGGGGTGACTGACTATTCCTGGGGGACATTTTCAACCGGACAGCCGCTACACTGGAGTAACATAGCCACGAACAGCGAGTCTTTCATTTATGGGCTTGGTCCAGTTCGACAAGTCTGAAGCTGAGCATGCCTCTCTCCGTTTCCTCTCTGACTCTGCGTGTCTCTGTTGTCATCCACATGCAAAAACAGATCAAGCAATACACTGAAATGAAAGATAAGCCGGTTCAATTTTCGTTTCTGCATATTCTTCAACCACGGTTCTTTTTAAATCATCATGCGTGTGTTGTAGCCTATGTCTACCATCCGGTGTATAGATGCCCATGCACGGGCAGACAGGCCGAGTGTGAGGGCCCGCATTCAAACAGCGTAGGCTTCTTGTTACATAACACCATGGCCTATGTGACAACCATAGCGGGGACCATAAAACCATTCCGTTGGTCCAATAGTCCCGAGTTAAGACGCAAACACGCCTCTGTCCGGGATATTATTTAATGCAAAAGTCTCTCAGCCTGCAGCACAGCAGAAGCTCGCAGGAGAAGTATATTGACATACACGAGTGTTTGGTAAATAAACAGATATAAACACGTTATTGCTGCTGCACATTCCTCAGCATCAGTCATTGGATGGAGGACTAAAGCAGTGGATAATACTGCTAAACTAATAATAAACAAACTCAATGTGTGCGTACGGGGGGGGAAGAAAAAAAAATACAGTCTAAATGCAGGTGCTTAAATTTAAATTCATGTTATCAGAATGATTTGACTCATTATGAGCATCAGATGCAAGCCTCTGAATGTAGGCTTGTCTTAGGCTATAAGAGCCCTCAGTCGGGCTGTCATAAGAAACACAAACACACCGTGCTGGAGCTCATCTTCTGCTTTACCAACACATACATGTTGTTATTGAGCGCCTATGGAAATCAACTGACCGTGTATCCTTTGCCACAAAACACCACGGAGGTGAAGCGGAGGCCTGGACAGCAAGTGTCGCCAGCTATGTCATTCACTCCTGCAGAAATGGTGTACTGACAGAGAAGTGGCAGAGGCGTCCACGGTTCAATGCAACAGCGTTTGACACGTCTGTGTGACAGGAGAACATATATTATATATGTCGGCCTGCAGAGTGCAAGCGGCAGTGACGGTCAGAGAGACGGACTCACCGTGATCATCTTGTTTCTGCTCCCCTACAGGACCGCAGCTGACAATCCGATTCGGCGTTGCGGGCGCTCGGAGCGGCCGGGGAGGTAGGACCATTTGTAGCCTTGCTGAGCCAGGATGGTCCGGTTAAATTGGTCACCCTGTGGTGGATCTCCTTTTGTCGTCTTCTCGCTCCACTCCCTTTCCTCTCCTCCCCCTGACCCTCTCGGCTCCAAGCACCACTGTAAAGACGAGGGACATAGAAAGATCACACTTCCGGTTTTTATTTTCAAATTAAAAGCCCCATTGGTGAAAGACGCTTGGATAGGCCAACATAAAAAAAAGCAGCAACACTTCATGTAGGCTAGTTACACTTTTTCAAATGACACGCAGATAAATAGCAATAATTCAAAAATAACAGATGTAAGGGGGTTTAAGTGTGGGACGGACTTATATAGTAATTTGAATGCTTAATGTTAATGCATGTCCATAGGATCCTGTTTCTGCGTGTGTGTGTGTGTGTGTGTGTGTGTGTGTGTGTGTGGGTGTGTGTGTGTGTATATTTCAGCCTATGTGTGTGTTTATGACTTACAGAGTGTAAAAAACTGAAATTTTCCCTTGTGGGGATCAATAAAAGTAAATCTCAAATCTTAATCTTAAATTTTACAAAGTCAGCAAGCAATCTATTAATCTAGCCTATGTAAGTAAAAGTTGATCAGTTGATCTTAGCACCAAAAACTAAATCAAATGGAAAAGGCTAGCAGAAAATCTAAGTATCTTTATAATTATTATTTGTTTTAATTCAGAACATATAACTTTTTGCAACTGCCCAGAGCCAAGAGCATATATAACCACCCACTAAATATGAAATCATAGGCCTACTTTCACACACGTGTTTGTACAGAATAAACAAACGCACCACTGAAAATTTTATTTTTGTGCTCAAAATTCCAAATGCATGACCTACAATAAATCTAACAACCAAACTTGATGAAGATTTTTTTTTTTTACTTAATTCATTGATAGGTAGCCTATCCATTATGCAAGGGTATCTGAAATACATATAAGGCTGATATGGGGATTGATTGGAAAGTGGGAGATTTGTCTTTGATGCTAAATCACAGCGATCTGTCTTAACTGAGAATAGGTTAACTCGTCACAGCCATGTCATTCAAACGTATTATTTTAATTATGATATGGACGCCAATCTGTATTTAATCAAACTGTTTTATCCCCATTTTTAATGCAGTGTTTGTAAAGCTGTACATCAAATCTCGCTTATTTCTATTTTATTTTTTAAAGATCATCTTCCACTCATTTCCGGTGTTGTGCTATCTAACTTCGGGTGCTTTGACGCAGCTCTCCTCGGCCCAGGCGCGCCGTTGCTCACACCACTCTCTCAATTCCACTTTTAGTAACTCGGTGCTCCCTCTAGAGGTGAAGCTGTGTCTGCGGAGACCCCCGGTCGGTCAAACCACCAGCTGTGATCTTCAACATTGTCCCTGAAGGAAAGAAGAAGGAAAAAAACAGTGATGTGGAGGGCAGTGAAGTCAGATTTTACAGTACATTCAAATATATTTTACAGAGTATAGGCTATTTCAAAGGATGAGGCCGCGACAGGCCTACTGTAAAAGTGAACAGCTGATGGGATGTTGTTTGCAGTGGTGGAAAGTTAATTAAATGCAGGAGAATGTTGTACTTGACAAGTAGCCTACAAAAGAGAAAAATGTAAAGTACACTCTTTAATTCAGACTTAATAATTAACTTCAGAGAGAACAATTTATTTTTACACAACTTAATTCATATGACAAGAAAAAAAAAGGTCAAAAAATAACATGTGATAGACTGATAGAAAAAAAAAATCAGCCAGTGGCTCTTAAATATTTAGGATGGTTTACTTTGAATCAACCTTTTTAGGTGCAGATAGGTAAAATTATCTAATATGTTATCAATAATTCATACATGTATTTTAGCAGAGCTTTGTTTAATACATCTTCCCTTTCTCATCTAAAACCTATGACTCCCTCAGATTTATCTTGTTACCTTTTGGATGGGCCCCACACTCAGTTTGAGATCCATTAGACTTAGCTTTAAAAAGTATCAAGTAATCAACAAAGTAAACAAAGCTTCAACTTGACCTGCTTCAACAGTAAATGCTGATCACACATCAATGTGGAAATACTATAATATTTTCGACCAGCGCAAGAGTTTTAAAGAATTTTTTTTTTAAGTCTGGATTTAGAATGTTTTTATAAAAAGGAAATACCAACACACTATATACAATGACTTTTAGGAATTGAACCATGCTCACGACAGTGTCTGCTTTCCAATAAATACCTACATATTTATTATCAGTGTGTAATCTAAATGACATATGGCATGAATGTGTTTACACTAGGGCAAGCAGGAACTGTCTTGTTAAAGTGTTAAACAAACATAAAAAACAGCAGACAAGAGGAACTTCCAAAAATAGATAATAGTCAATATGCTGTCAAACTTTACGAGTGAGGAGTCTGCTTAGGTGTCTTTGGAGAATAGAAGCCTAGGCCAAGTTTATTAGTTTGAAGTAGCCTATGAGAAGTGGAAACACGACTTTCAGAAGGGAAGCCAATGCCATAGTATGTTGCAGCTTCACTTTCAGCAGGGGGACTACACTGGTTGAATTAGAAATGTGCTTCAGTATGTATGTCACTAATAGTCAAAAGAATACAATGATAGTTTCAAGACATTATCCTTAATCAAACAAAAACCTGTGATTTCCCTTAAGACAGGTGAAAGGTGAACAACCTGTCTGCTTGGGAAGGCAGCCAAGGGACTGCTAAGATGGGCTGGACTGTTCAGATAATGTAAGAAGTTTTGTTATTGCCTGCTTGCCCATTCAGGGGTTTGTTTGTTTGTATGCTCTTCCTGGGGTCTCCATATCGTCATTGACAAGACATCATTACTCAGATTTCATGAAAACACACCCATGACATTCATACTCACATTACAACAAAAGACACGACAAAAGAAATACAACACACAACATACAGCGCAAACTCAAAGACTGTCTAATACATACAGTAGCTCTACATAAATATTTTTCAATTTAATAAGGAAAGAATTAACAAAAGAAAAAAGTACCTGGCAACTACATCACAAGAAAAGAATGTTTTTACGATACTATTTATTGTCTAACTAAATACAATCTAAACTTTTAGTAAAAATCTTGTTTTTGAAATCAGAAAACTTGGAAGCCTAACAACTTTTAGCAACAATAATTTCAAAGTGCTTCACATAAACCATAGCTATAGACAAAAGAAACCTTTAAAAACGTTGTTTAAAAATCATTAAAACAACCATGAACAATCCCCAAGAATATCAAAGGTAAAAAGGTTTTTTAAAGATGAAAAAAAAACAGAAATAAATCATTAAGCAAAAACAAGACATTAAAATACTAAATATCTAAATAACCCGTAAATGTACTGTACATGTCCATAAAATTAGAAGAAAAAAAATGATATGCCACCATGACAATTACCACAACTGGCAAGTAGGACAACCTAGAGTGTGTCCTGAAGTGTTGGAGACTGAAGGAACATTAGCACACCAAAGCAGATAGTTTGAAAAAGAAAAATAGCCTAAACACTGTAGCTGCAAACAACATGAATAATCTCGCATAATCTCCCATGCATGAAAATGTGTATAGCCTACATTTATTGTTGAGCTAAGATTTTTTTATCCTTACCTTTGTCAGCGTGGAGTTAGGTCAGGTATGGGTCAGGTACGCACAATGGGATTGCCAGATAGATACAGGGTAAAGGTGCAAGAAAAATGTCAGCAATGTCTGTGGCATAAGGTTGTATTTCTCCATAGTCTATTAGCTTACTAAGATATCAATTATGTGTTATTTTAAGCATTTATTGTAACATATGGGGTAAAATGTCACTAAAAGTTGACCCAATACAACTTGAATATTTAAAAAAAGGATAGCAAAGTATGAATAAAATACTTCTTGTAAAGGGGTATATTTATGTTTTAGGTGACGTGCCTTTTCACCCCAGTAGCCTACAGTTCATGTAGACAACATTTATAAGACTATTTAGAGGAATGTGTAATGTCTGAGATTGCTAAACCAAGCCTTGGATTTATTAAGTTTAGCTTAGCAGTTAGCCTAACATTTAGAGACAGCAGTTCGCTTCATGAAAACTACAACATCACAAATCCCAATGCTTTAATTCATGTGTGGATGGTGAATTAAATAAATAAATAAAATACAAGTAGTTTGAGGATCGGTTTGTTGCATTGGAAGTAGGCTACAGCTAACATGATTATTGACTGAGTGGCAATTCAGTTGTGGCCGAGTTTACAAGCTGGCTAACAAGGCCGTTGTAGGTGTTGGTGGAAGTTCAGTAATTTCGCTTCTTACCCCTGAATGTAAATATTAGGCTTCTTACACTTTAACCGCCCTGTTTATAGTAGAGGAACTTGGGCCCCTAAAAGTTGAGATACCCCCTATCCGAGGTAGAACAAAGCATAACCATATTTTTTCATAACTTGAACATGTCTAGTTTATGAAACGGATGGTTGTATGAAAATATTTTACTGCAAAATAACTTTTTTTTTGATGTTTTATGCATCTTACCAAAAAATGAAAATAGGTCAAATTAGGGCTTCTCTGAAAGGGACAGCTCTAGCCTCATCACATGTATCTCTGGGAATCAGAATCAGAATGTCACCAAATGTGGACAGGATGTTCACAGATAGTTATTAGTTACAATTAAGCAAAGTTTTTATCAATACCATTTTCAATTTTTAAAATTTTCACACTTAAACACACATGCTGGTGACAGAGAAGAGGACGCTGTGCTTTTATGTCATGCAGTGAATATGTGAAGTTCTGATCGGAGTTCATTTAAAGTATAAATGTTTGTTATTTGACATTCCTGGTGTTCATCTTATTATCCATGGGTTCATATCTGGAGGAAGCATCTTTTGTTGTCACATGATTTCAGAGAAACGTTTATTAGATTCAAACAAACAGAATGTAAGAAAGAGAGGAGAGACTTGATAAGCTAATCATTTATTGCTTTGATAAAACATTTACAACACAGGTCGGACAAACTGTCATCATCACTTTATAGCACTTTCTGAAGAGAAGCTGCAGCCGTTGGTTCTGACCTCAATCTGACCTCGACCTCCTGACCCTCTCCTCCCAACATTTCCTGTTTCTCTCCTGCTTTCCGATCTTATAAAGACAAAAAGGCCAAAAAATATAACTTCAAACAAACAAAGAAACAGACGTGGTAAAGAGAAGAATTGTTGATAACCTCGGCTGCTTCAGCGCCACATATTAGTCAAAGGAATCCAAACTTGTTCCCTCAGAAATCTCATCCACACACGTCCACGCTTCAGGCTCCAATAACTCCAAGTGTGACGAGAATACGATCAAGCGTAAGGAGCAAGAGCAAAGAAAGAATCTTGTGGCCTCATGTGTCCCGCTCACAAACGTTTTTTCATTGACAACGCCACCCGACAAGTCGCCTCCTGTTGATGACTCCAATAACGTAAACGCTACTAGCCAAGCAAATGTTAGCCAGGAGCACCCAGCTAACTCCGTGAAGGAAAGTAACAGTGCTAATGACGATGGTGAGGTTGAGAATGAGATCATTGAAGACACAGCTGGTGATGGAAGTGGAAACTGTGATGATGATGATAGTCATAGGCCTATGGAAAATGCTCCTGCTGAGCTAATAAGGGATGAGGCACTCTCCCTTTCCTCCAATTTGTGTCTCAGGTGGCACTGACACTACTACAGGTGGTCACCCACCAACATCTGTTTCTTTCAAACTTAATACTGATATATTAGTACTACTAATTCAATTAGAGCTTTGTCGGTACAAGCTAGTGTCAGTCATGCCATATTCGCTGTTATGCTAATGTAAGTGAATATATATATTCACTTGTTTAGCGTTACTTGGCTTACATCACTTTCAACTGATACGTACGTCCTATTTCTCAAAAACTGATAAATGTAAGTTCAATATTGACTCGACTTTAAGCTAATTATTCTTCATTTATCTGTCGACCAATTATATGGCTCTTCATCTAGCTCAGAGGTGGGCAACTGGCGGCCCCCATCAACCCTCAATGTGGCCCTCAGGTCAATTTTGACATATCAATTAATTGGAATCATGAAGAAAACCTGCCATGAAATCATGAAAACCAGAAATATGTCCATAATAATATTTGATCACTGGTATATGTTAAGTTAAATTGGAGAAGAAATTGACTGTAATCATTTTTGTATTCTACAATTTGGCCCCCTGGCAGTGAGAATTAAATGAATGTGGCCCCTTGCTGTGACCAAAGTTGCCCATCCCTGATCTAGATATCGTTTTCGTAAACAGAAAGCTGACGTTAGCTTAAAACTTTCTGTTAGCAGTAAGGTGCTGCGTAGGTGCGTTACCTTTCAGGACTATACTCGCAGTATCCCCTTCCCGAAAGCAGCTACCGTAACTGCTGCTGCTTCAGGAAACGGGTTCGTTACATTGGCCAAAACATACAAGAGAGTGCTACAAAAACTAGCTGGAGAACTTATTAAACTACCTCACAAAATAGCTGCTTCAATTTTTTTACACTTTCTTGCTAATATAAAAATGTATTTTATTTTGTAAAGGTTTTGTGTTCTTTTTTAAGTATTTATTCCTAAACATTCAAATTTTGCCTGATAATTCTGACTACTGTGCACAAGTAATATTTTGACAAACATGTGCTCTTTATTTTAATTAGTTATCTTTTTGTTGCTTTTATCTATCTAGACATATGGACTTTAAAACAAATACATGTTTTAAAAGTTTTATTTCTGGGTAAAGTTGTCCTTTATGAGCTCCTTCGCCAATGTAGGACTCATGTACGTATTTTATACATTAAAAATCTCACCAACAGTCCAGTTCACACTAAACATGTCTGCCATGAAGTGTCTTTAAGAATGACACAAGAATGAGAGCTAAAAGCTTTGATTAATTTTGCACTTCACCTTTGTGTTTACATTAACTTTAAATTGTTACTCAACTAAATAATAGGTATTTTCACTTCTCCATATTGACAACTTGACTCGCTTCCAGATGAAAACAGTTATTATTTACATCGGCTACAAACCACAGGATCCATTATAGTCAAATAAATAGTTAAAACCAGCACAACTTTGAGCTACAGGGACATTTTCAAGTGCCGAACTGAACTGCTTGGTGGAAACGGGGCTTTTGTGTTCAATTGTTTTCAAAAGGTCTCAACAATGTACCTCTACTATGAAGACATAACCCTTTTTTACTGTGTTTCTTAGAGTTATTGTTTTCCAAGGGTAACCATACCTTTACTTAAAAAAAAAACAGAGTTAACAAAATCAAATTAATACCTAAAAGTACTCATATATTATTTGAAAATGTATAGGCTACGAAATACTCTGTTAAGTAAAAGTGTTGCATTGAAAACCATACCTGTCTACAGAAGTATATAAGCATTGACATAAATGTAACCTAAATTAAAAATAGGCCGACTGTACACATTCCAAAATAAGACTCATTAGCATATTGTTTGAGTAAATAGGTAAATAATTATTGGGTAAGCAAAACTGCTGGATTGATATCTAATATTGCTGCAGGTCATGTTTGAGCTGCTAAATCTGGAAATATAGGGTATTCATATGTTGAATCTTTTAAGTAGGCTAATAGCTTACAAAAAATTAAAGCTGTGAATTAAATAGTAGATGGACCCACAAGTTGCCTCTGACGTGGTGGAGTAGAATCAAGATTAACTGAAATACTCAACAAGTTAAAACGAGAAAAAAAAAAAAACTCAATATTGGGTATTTAGTACAGTAAACTTTTCTACTCGTGTAAATTGAATTTGAAAAGTTTTTTTTTAATTAATTGTAACATTTTTGGAATAATCACCCCCGGTCATGAACCGAATTCAGAGCTCCACTCTGAACATGCTCACATTTTGTTGCCCGTGGTTACTGTTACTGTAAAATCAGACATTATTGAATAACAAGATGAAATATAGGCTACTGTTTCTTTGAAGCAACACTCCTCTTAATGAAAGAAAAGTTCAACTGTGTACGTGTATTAGAGTATTAATTGATTTTTAAGCCAGCTAAGACAACCCTGACACCCCCGGCAGAGACATTCAGTTAGTATGGACCTGAACGATGACGCTCCGGTCCTTACGGTTTAATTTAGCTCCCGTATTTTTCCTGCTCGCTTTACCTTACAATTTCCCCTCGATGTAACATTTGTTTTCTTATCAAGGAGCCAAACTTAGACTCACTATCAGCTGAGCTTACGTGTTAACAAACGCGTTTTCTCCCCCATTATATTTCGCTCCCGCATGCCGCTGCCCCCGCTGTCTTTTACTGCATATAGCTCGATGTATTTTGTGTCCCTTGTTTCCTCCAGTAACCCATGTCTGTGTGCATCCCGCCTCCCTGCGCTCTCAATAGATGGTGCAAGTCAAAATGTCCAAATCGCCCGTAGACCCACTCTCTGCTGTGGAAACAGGCTCTCAGTCGCACTATTTCCAGGTAAATCCACACACCTTTTATTCACAGCATTAGATGTTATCATGGCAATATGAGTGAAGAACGGTGAAGAAAATCGATTTGCTAATGTCTTGTTACGGCTTCTTGTGTTTGGAAATTGAGGCGTCGCGTTTTTGCGTACAGCTTGAATTTTTTTTTTGTACCTCTGCCTTCATTGAAACTACAGATAAAGGCTTGATCGTTGAAAAATCATCATAAACATGCTTAATATGCCTCCTACCACAAACAGGTTTCCCCTACATGTTGCTGTTTAAGAACACGCATCTTATGGATTCTGTTTGTTTTATCTTGTATTCAAAACGCATTTCCTGTTTTATTTACAAAATGCAGGAGAATAATGGGACATAATCTGGACATGTGTGCTGAAATTTGTAGGTGTAATGAAACGTAGGCTACAGACTGGCCATGACTCTGACTCACCTGTAGCCTGAATCTACTGGGCCTGTCTGGGCACACACACACACACACACACACACACACACACACACACACTGCAACATCCAAGCTTTCCTATTAATCGACTGTGTTTAAAGTGGCCTGAGTAAATGTGTTTCCTGATTTACACCAACCAGTATGTGCAGATAGATTCATTCCATCATGTTATATTTGTGATATTGGCAAAGCGACAGCTGGTTATAGTTATTGCTTTGAACAAAGCAGCTCTTTTTCACCAGTTTTCCTCAGATGTATGCCTATATTTTGTCAAAATTACAAGTTTAGTACAAGCTGTGTGTATTCTGTCTGTCTTATCTTATATAATCTTATCAAATCTTATTTTATGATATCATCGTTACCTGCTGCTGTTCTCCTTCATCCCAGCTGCCCAGGAAGTTGCCTAAACGCAAGAGCCGCTTCAAACGCTCAGATGGCAGCACATCGTCTGACACAACATCCAGCTTCATCAAGCGGCAGGTAAGAAACAATTTGAACTATTTGTTGGCGTCTCTCTCCTTATTCATGCATGCATTTTATGTTGAATCTTTCTTTGGCTATCAGAATCATAGGGCTCATTATCACAGAGATCATGTAGGCCATGTTATTCGGCTGAAGGCTGAATAAAGCTGTAAGGATACAACAGCAGTTTCTGGATTGTTTTGTTGGAATTTGTGCGACACCTGTATTGTTATTCCAAGCATTATATGCTACCGTTTTAATGAATCGTTCGAACTAGTTCCAAAATGACATTAGTAGTTCTGTGAGTTTCATCAAACACATGAATATTTCTGCCCTGCATCTTCATCCACTTGGCTGTTTCTTTTTTCTCTCAGTTGTTGTTTTGCCCAGCAGAGAGCAGCAAAGTCTTGAAAGTGGCAGTGTGTTACATCAAAATCCCAACAGAGCACAGATTTTTTAATTAATGTTTTCAGGTCGAGCACGTGCAGTAGATGCAGATGGAGATTTGGTGTTACTTAAGACGATCTCTAACTGAACAAGCAGAGAGAGAAGGAGAATTCTGAGTATCAAGATTCCCCACACGCTCTCCCTGCGTGGCTGTGTGTGAATCATCTGGATCAGCTGATTTGATTGTGTAATAACCAAAACACCTTAAAATACTTGTTTCTTGAGATTAATTTGATTTGGGTGTCAGTGTGCTGCAGAGCTGGTTGTAGTGTCACTAAGAGCCCAGCAGAGGGGAGAACTTGATTCTCTGATACCAATGAGGTTTTGGGGAGTCAAGAGGTTTTACCTGCCTACAACTCATACCTAACCGCTTGACTGCAGTGCTTCTGAAGTCTTAATACAGCAAGGAGAGGAGGCTGGGTACTGATTTAGATAATAAAAGTAACCAGTGACTATCGGTACCGGCTAATTTTATGGCAGATATGTGCCAATATTACTAGATTTATTCACCAGTCAAAAAGCATTTCATTTCAGTATCATTGGATTACACAGTACTCTTTCACCAGCAGAGGGCGCTATATGGATTACAACAAGCATTATTACTCTCCAGAGTGTCAAGCGGTGGCTTGCCCAGTTACGTTCCATTTGAGTGACCATCTAGTCGTCAATAAATATCTTTTCCACAAGTGTTTGATATCTGCAATTGATGGATCATCACAATAAATGTGTGTATCTATTTTTTATTTTAGGGATGCAACAGTACAGTAAGCTCACGGTTCAATACTTCAGTTTTTTGGTATTCGGTATGGTTCGTTTCTGATGGCCCGGGCTGTTGTTGTTGTTGAGTATTTTTTTCGTTTGTTTTGTTTTTCATTTTTCGGAGTTTTGTTCACATTTCACAGGAACAGCAAGGGGCCAAATAAAAACTTTTTTTTTTTTTAATTTCAAAACTATTTCTTAATTAGATTTTAAGGCACACACAAAAACGGTTTCCATTAATACACATTCCTTGTGTGTGGTGTAACTGTTAGTGAAAAGAAGGCAGCTTTTAAGTAGTGCCATGTTGAAATGTACAAAAAGGAACACATTTCAGTATTTTAAAATATATTTTTTTGTATAATTTTCGCAGACTTTCACACAGAAAAAGGTCATGAAGCGTTAATATTTCATTGTGTATGGTAGCTTTGTTTTAACCGCTGTTTCTCCATTCAGGGGATCAGCCTTTATGCCTTTATTTTAGACAGGATAGTGGATAGAGTCAGGGAGAGAGGGAGAGAGAGAGTGGGGAATGACATTGAACAAGGGCTTAATGACAAGAACAGACTTATATAAAAAGCTGCATCATTCTCACTAACAGTATTGGTTACCGAACACAGGGCTTATTCACAGCTTCTTATTCATCTTTTTTTTTCTGACCAGCAATCGGTAAAAAAACAATATTCTGCTACAAATTAAATTAAATTCAACAGAATCACTGACAGAAGCTGGAGCCTAAGAAAGGAAGGATGGGACTCTTTGATTGCACTGTGGATGTGTATATGTGATACATACGTGTGTGTTGTTTGTTTTTGTGCTGTGCTGTCATTCATGCTAGCTGTGTCACACTGATGCTTTTTACACGACTAAAGTTCCATATGGAATAATAAAGTTATATGATAAGAATGAAATTGAATTTCAGATTTAGAATAACTTCCATTTTAAAAAAAATCATGAAAATTGTTGCTGACATATTGTTTTTGAGCAATAAAATATGTAAACTAATTGTTTCAGCTCCAAATGTATGTATGAATTCACTCCTTTTTGTAAAAAATACAAACTCAAATGACTAAAAATCAGCTGATTAATCAATCATGAAATTCTTCATTATTTGAGCGCTATGTCTTTGTTTTTATGTTTGAAATGTTCAATATCAAAGTTCATCCAAGAAAAGCTCCTCCCGTATATAAAAACCAAAAATGCCATGTCTGTTGAATTCAACCTTCAAAACTGGTGTGAAGCAGATGTGTAGTGGTGCCTGAAGAAGTGGGTATACTCTTGCTTTTTTACCCCAAATGTTTTTTTAAGGGTCCCATCCCGCAGAGGATAAACAGCCTTTGTGACATATACGACTGCTCTTGCATATTTAGTAAGTGTTTTCCAGCCAATTAGACCGTCCTTTACCGTCCTAGGAAAAGCATACAACTTAATATTGTCAATCAATCAATGGTGTGAATCACAGGGGATTTAGAAGTGGGTATACCCAATGGAGACTGAAAAAGGAGTGGGTATACTCCGTATACCTGCGTATACCCTGCACTACACCACTGGTGTGAAGGGAACACACTGTCTTTTTGACATCATTGTGCAGAAACGGTTTAAGTCCATTTTTTGTTCTTTTCTCTTTATGAGGTCCCACAATGTAATAAAAAAAAAATGTAAGCAACAAAACAATAAACAATTAGACACTAGACAAATAGTCCAAAAAAATCAATTTACTCCCCTATGTGAGGCAAACATCTGAAAACCATCATCCAGAAAATACTGACATCTTTGTTCTTTAGTTCTTTGCTAAACTAATGGTTGAAGCATTTAATGAAAATATAACTTAAAAGACACCTGATGAAACAGTTCATTACAATACAAATCCACTTTAAAATCTAATCATGAGCTTAAAACGACTGGAGGCAGGATCCTCTTTCAAGTTCAGCTTTATTTCAAGCATGAGATTTATACATTAAGACCTCTGTTTAATGCAAGGCATCGTTGGTGTGGGCGACTGTGGAGAAGAATAACTGTAATGGAGAGACGTTGGTGAGAAGAGGAGAAAAAAAAGGGCTGAGCAGACATCTTTTACTGGAGGGGGACATTACTTATCCTGATCAGGGGGCTTAATGACAATTTCCAGATTCTTCGAGAATATTGCACGGCTTAAAATATTCATGATGCTCATTTTGAAGGCCTCGGGCGATGTGATGTGTGGGTTCATTGTTCGCACAAGCAGCACCTTTAGTTTCTTTTCATTCATTACCATCTCTCTGTCTGCACACACAACCCGGCATCAGCTCCATAGGTGATATGATAAAGTGTTTTATGCAGAAGGAGTGAATTTCACACACCAAGCAGATAGTTTTTTGTCTGTGATGGGGTGGGGTGTCTATGGAGGAGCAGTAGAGTATGACTCATTTCTGCAGCAGGATACAATAAGCAGCATGCTGCCATAAGTGTGGATATATGTGTTATATGTAGGGCAGGAGGCTTGGAAACTGGAGTGGAGATCTGCAGCTGTGTATGTAATAATAACAGCAGTTTCTTCATTGTTCCCTCTCCACCTGTGTATGTTGAATTGATCTTAAATTGATAGCAAAGTGATTTAAATCTATATAGGTTTTTTGATCAAGTGACGCAAAAGCTGCGTTGACTGTTGTGTGTGTAGTGGGATGGGGTGAGGTGGGGTAAGAATAGAAAAGAAGGTGTTAACGGTGTCTGCTCCAGTACAGGTTTGTCCCTGGTTAGGGGATGGGACACAGTGCAGTGTGTCTGCATTTTACAGCATGTAGTAAACTAAGAGGGAGGGACCGTCAGCAACAGCATCACAACATTAACTGAGTAAGTACAAATGACTCCCAACACAGTCAAGCTTCTTCTTCTTCTTCTTCTGCTCCGTGTCTACCCACACATCTCTTTGTAGCATTTCTGTGGCATTGTTGCCGCTCCTGTCTCTATGTTCCTTTGTCTTCCTCTTTCACCTCACCTCCTGTTGTCAGCAAATGCTCCTGTTTCCCCTCATTCTTTACTTTTTGATTACCGTCATCTCATGTGCACTCTTCACGGGTCCTCGCAATGCTTTGTGATTGATCAATTGAACATACAGTATGCCTGATGTTGACTTTGATATTGATGTAACCACACAGTGATTTATTGCGTTGTGTATCAGCTAGCTCTGTGCATGTGTGTAACTTGCTGACGTTGAATTATGACTGCACAGTTAATCGAACACTTTTTGAAATTGGATATTTGGCTCCTGGATTTCCAAACCGCTGGAGCTTGCAGTTTTCTTTATGTTTTGCTCGGAGGGAAAGGTGTTTCAGCATCCTGAATAATACATTCTGCTATTGTGCAGAATCTACTTCCTGAAAATAAAGATGGAGAAATAAGATTTTAGGATTAACAGTCCCTGCATTTTATTTGATATAGTTTCAAAGGATCATGGAGTGTTTCTAGTTTTTGTACCATTTGTTACAGACAATGCAACTTAACCTTTCTACCAACCATTTTTAAGTAGTGCACTAGACATTTGAATCACATTTTCCTGCTCTCCAGGTGCCTATTGTTTTTGGCCTTGTTAGTGTTGGGATGGCTGGAAGGGTGCTTTGTCCTACTGAATTCTACAACAACTTGTAAAATGTTTGAAGACATTCTTGATCCCCAGAAGATGACATGAGGTAACATTGGTGATTCAGTAATCACCAATTCAGTTCAATTCTTCACAAAAGTAATTCAGTGCCGTCATCAGGTCAAGCCATTGGTTTTTGCACTTTAGTCCCCTCGTCTTTAATCCAATGGGGTTTTTTCATTGGCGTTGTTTGGTGGGATGCCTGGAAGAAGGTCTGAGGTTGTTCAAAGGCATAAAGTATATCGGTAAATGCCCCATACTTGAAATTGAAACTTAAGCATATCTCAAAATGGGCAGTGCAAGTGGCTAAATTAGACCACATAGGTTGTTCGTCTGTGTCATCACATCCAACACAGCAGGTTTGAAGCTTTCTAGTGGTGATGCTAAAGTCGTGCGACCTCAGAGAGTCTGGTTCCTTAACTTAACTTTTCACTTCTGGCGATGGGATTTTGTTGGAATTGTAAAATGATCATAAAAGTGTTGTTGGCTTGGGAAGAATGGCTAGCTAAATAAACATGCTATTACGATTAACTTGTTTGACACAGACATTATTTTTCTAAAAATACTGAAAAAGCCATGGACAGATCTCATTGTTGGTTATTTTGAGGGAACAAGGGTTGATGCAGACTTCCAGATGGCCTAACAAAAACATGTCATACCTGCAGCAGCTTACACAACGAACTTTTCCATCAGCCTCAGTTGCATACTTGTTTTTTTGGGCTAATAAGCATGTGTAAGTAATGCTAACATACTTTACAATGATTGCGAACATAGTAAATATTATATATGCAAAACAATTGTTTGTCTTAGCATTGTAAGTGTGAGCGTATTAGCCATACTAGCATTCATGCAGTTAGCTTAAAGCACTTATTTGGCAATTTAAGCTGCGATTTACCAGCTATGTGGAGGTTAGAACCGCTTTAAGATACAATAAAAGCTACATAAAACTAAAGTTTTTTATGAAAAGGGCAAGATATATAATGGATACCAACTTACATAATATGTGTCAGATAATATTATTATCTTAAATGGGCTATAATAGACATATCTCTCGATATACATTTGTCTGAAATGTAATGTAAAGGAGTCCCTCAAGATGATCAGACATTAATCCATAGAGAATTTTCAACCAACTCTGCAGCTAAATTAAGTGTTTCGTCCACTTGCTACAAGCCCATTGTACATCGTGTGCTCAGCATACAGTACAACCAGCTAGTTCAAACCTTGGGGTATTTAGCAGATATAATTACTAATAGTTTTCTGTGGAGATGGTGAAGACTAAAACAGAGCTGAAATAAAAGTGAATTTGATCATCTTGCTTTCTGAAATGTTCACCATATTAACTATTTAAGATGGCAATAATGTGTGTTTTGTTATCGGGCGTACAGCTTGTTGTGTTGTCAAAAACATCTATAAACGCAGGTGTAATTACAACAGAGAAAATCAAAAGCAGATTTGGCTTATTCCTTTTGTTACAAAAACCTCTAAAGCAAATTCAATCAATCAGAGTGTTGCATGATCAAACACGGCTTTTACATTTATATGTATGGTGTTTTGCCATTTATATTTGTTGCTTTTTGAGACCAGAGCCTGTACAGTATGGCTCTGTTGGAAAAGCCCAGTATTGAGGTTACACCGCTTCAGCCAACAACAAAAAACACAATTAACTTACAGATAAAAAGATCCCTCAGGTTGGCACAATCCACGGCAGAACAGAATCCTGAGTCAATTTGAAGCAGATACTCGCAGTTTAGGTTGGTTCAACTTTTCTCCATTTACTATCAGCATGTCTGCATTTAAGAGTCAGTAACTTAACGATAGTAACGTTGTGCTACAGCCTGCTGTAGTCTGTGAACTTCTCCACACAGACTCGGTTGAAGTGTATGCACGTGTTTTACTGATGAACGTTGCTAATTTGTTGAATGATGTAATTTATATTTGATATGGTCTGTTGTTGTGTTTTATGGAACTTTTTTGTGCTTCTGTCTTGACCAGGACTCGATACATTAATGGGAATATTCCTGGATAAATTAAAGGTTAAACAAAATAAGTAAATAAATAAAAGCAACACAAAAACAGACATCCTTTGTCGAGACAGTAAGGTGTACTGGAAACGTTAGTCACTGCAATGCAGCGTACTGTCACCTAAAGTCTTTATCTTCAGTTACATTGGAAGTAACACTATTTTGTGCACAGTAACAGTATTTTGTGGCGGATATTTGACAGGGGTTCAGGACAGAGTGAGTGCAGCAAAGGTCCAAAGCCTCATGTCCAAACATTACCCAGCAATCCCAGCCGGTCTGGTGTTCTAACATCATTAAGCAGCTCTCTGACATAACGCCTTTCCCCTGCGCCCACCACCATATTTAAACCACTTCTATGTCTGTGCGTGTTTGACTGCGTTCCCAGTGAAGACAGGGAAGCCGTTACAGTGAGAAAAATTCCTATTCATGTCTTTATCAGGCTCTAGCGCAGTCCTCCTTATCAGCCAGGTATGCTTCTCTTTCTCTGACTGTCTCTATCTGTGTCTCCGTCTCTAGTGGTCATGCCCCCCACCCCCCACCTCTCCTGCTCTGTTTCCCCCTTCTTTTCCTCTATCTGCGATCGAGGATAGATATCTAGGTCTCACTCCACTCCTTCAACGCATTTTGTTATGTTCTAATCTCATTTTACCCTCGAGATAGCATCACTTTATCTTGTCGTATAAATCGTTTATACCTTCCATCTCTGCAACCATTCCTCAGTCACTCTCTGTCATCGTAAACATCCTTTTCTTCTCAGTATATCTTGTCAACGATATTTAACTCCCCCACCTCATCCTCTGTCTCTCTCTATATCTATCCCGTTCTTCCTCACCCTCCTTTCTCTCTCTCGGTGCTGCTCTGGTGCTGGTGCAGTGTTGCCTTGCAGAGCTTGTGAGTGCTAGAAATCAGATCTAGTTATCTAACATAGACACAAACACACACACACACACACACACGCACACACACACACACACACACAACTAAAATAAACGAGGGAGAGGTGTTCGCTTGCCTGTTCCCTGGGACGTAAAGCGGTACTGTAGATGACATTTTACCTTGGATTCTCTGTTTGTATTCTGAAGTGTAGGGATAGAAAAGGTGGCGGTTGTTTTTTTGTGTCTGGGCAATTTTTAATTTTTTTTTTGTATTTTGAGCCTGAATTTCTTTTTGTTGTGCTGCTAATTGGTCCTCCAGAGGATTTGTTTGTATATGTTGGCAAGATGGATGACCACGACTAAGTCCCTGCACTCTGGAGGAGAGGAAAACCAAACACGAAACTGTATTATTATGTGTTGTTTTTTTTGCTGCTTGCTTTGTGTGCAAAAACATTGTTTAACCTCTAAGTATTTCACTGTTTTACTTAAATGAATATATGGATGTTATTTAGAATAATCTAAGGATTTTATTGTCTGCTTAATTTGTCACTATTTTCATTTGTTCATTTTCTTTTGCTGTCTCACGTCCTACACCTCTGTCAAGTTTTTGTGTTTTTGCTGCAACGGTCGTCTTTACTGACAGATTGAAGACTGAATTCCTGCACAGAAAACACATAGATACCAAATATAGGAGAGCTCACACACACACACACACACACATACTCACATACAGTACCCAATGTGCATCCAGAACACTTCTTCTGTTCATGTTTTTCTCTTGATAACTCTGCTTCAAGGGTTACTGTCACTGTTATTTTTTAAGAAATAACAAATAATTTTTATCATCGTAACATGTTTATCATCTGTTGTGTTGTTAAACAATATATTCCTGGTAGTATGGTAGTAAACCCATTATATAAGTATAGTACTGTAGGGAGCTGAAACGAGCTAAACGCTCCAATAATTGCTTCAGAAAAAAATGACAATTTTGCGTTGCCTATCATTTTGAAAAACTTCTAGTAAAACTCCACTTTACACTGACATGAAAAATGTTCTGGAAAAAGACCATGTCTGATTAAAAGCCTGCAGCAGCCCTTATCAAGAAAGTTTCACCGTTTAACTGTATGTAAAACAACTCTTTGTTAGCTTTATCGTTGGCTTTTAGCATTATGTGCTCCCCGTCCCTGAAATACATTCTTAAAGCGCCTACAATGAAAAATGATAGCCAGCATATATTTTGCTAATGAGGAGATGTCCTTGGAGAATAAACAGGGGAATAAAGGATGTATATGTGCTGCACTGTGGGGGATGATGGAATGGATTGGGGCCAAGCAGGAGAGAAGAGGAAGCAGTTGCCTCCTTTGTGCTATATTTGGTCTACCAGAGGATGGCTGGTGTGGGAGAGCGGAGCATTGTGTTGTAGATCCACACAGGCTCACATACGAATGTGTTCATGAATACAGTACACGTATTTGCATGCACACCTGCACACACAGAAAGATAGATGAAAGCAGGAGTATATGCAGAAACAGCAGATCTGCATATCCAAACTCAGTGTAACACATCTCCAAATGTTTGACTCGACAATATGATGATAATGTGCATTAGGTTATGAAATGATCCATTCTAATACCGTGTCTGCCTCTGACTCTGTTCGGTTAGGGGTCGGCTGATTCGTACACCAGTAGACCGTCGGATTCAGACCTGTCAGCAGAGGAGGACCGCGAGGCGTATCGGCGTGAAGCCGAGCGCCAGGCACAGCTGCAGCTCGACAGAGCTAAGGTACGGCACTCTGCTACCAACTGATTGTTTTACCTTTTAACACAGCATTACAAAGTGTGGGAGCCATGTGTGTTCCTTTTCCGTTCACCCATCATCAGACCCTCCTGCAGGTGAAAGAAAGCTAATGTGATTTAACTAGATTTGTTTTCAAACTCCAAAGCATACCACATGCACAGCACTTTTTGATCTTCTCCTGCTTTATGTTTATGTCAACAAGAGACAGTGAACACAACAGCTCGTTCCTTAGCCTCTGCAGGCCGTGCACACATAAGCTATTTAGACACACTGACCACTTAAATGGTGACACAAGTAAAACATGTTTGTAAAATATCACCCAGTTCAAGCTCTTGAACAAGACAAAGGGCATAAATAAATTATGAATCCTGCCCAGAACTATGGTTCATACAATCTTCTACCTTTTGAAATACAGTTTCCATTACTGAAAAGTTGTTTGCCTGCCCTTGTACTTGAACTTCTATTAGTTAGTACTTATTGTTTCATGTATTGTTCTCGTAGTCCAAACCTGTAGCGTTTGCAGTAAAGACCAATGTGAGTTACTGTGGAGCTCTGGATGAGGACTGTCCCGTCCAAGGAGCTGCAGTCAACTTCGATGCCAAAGACTTCCTGCACATCAAAGAAGTGAGTTATCTTCTCATCATAATCATGACGACCTTACTATTTACTTTGAAACTAGAACGATGTACAGTACGTGACATGGATCGGTTGTTGCTCTAAACCTAACAGAAGTATAATAATGACTGGTGGATCGGTCGGTTAGTGAAAGAGGGAGCAGACATCACATTCATCCCCAGCCCGCTAAGACTGGAGGCCATGAGACTCAAACAGGAGCAGAAACAAAGGTCAGTTAACAGAATGGAGCTCCTCAGAGGATCGGTTTAAATAATATAAGTTTGATGATCTATTTATAGGTTTTTTGTTGTTGCAGGAAAACAGGGGGTAACTCCTCTAGTTTAGGAGATATGGTGACTGGAAACTGGAGGACCACACCGCCATCTGCAGGTGAATGTAAGTACTTCAAATATTCATCCTATTTATCCTGGAACAAATACTTTGCCTTCTGCTTCTGTTTTCTATCCTTGATTGTAATTTCCTTATTCTCACAAGCCAAACAGAAGCAAAAACAGGTAGGGGTCTTTTTCTGTACTATGATGACACAGCATGTGCTCAAAATACTGTAAATGATCAGGGACATTATCTGTGTCTCTGCGGGATAATTCAAAATATAATTACAAAATGCATTGAAAAACTGCTCCTGGATACTGTGGGGTTGTGGGTTTTACATTTGGGGCTAGTTACTGATAGTTACAGCAGCTACCAATGTTATTATAGCAGGAGTGACTACATTTCTAAAAGCAACTGTTAAATACAGTCCTAAGTGTTTTTATTGTGATTTTATGTGTGTTAAAAATTCCTCTATTTTATTTAGCTGTAGTCTGCAGAAAACGCTAGCCATCTCTTTTCAGAACAAACAAACCCAACCCCTAAAATGTCTCACTCCTGCTCTCTCTCTCTCTTCCTCTCCAGGAACATGTTCCTCCCTATGACGTGGTGCCCTCTATGAGACCAGTGGTTCTCGTGGGACCATCGCTGAAGGGTTATGAGGTCAGCCTCTCTTAGTTTCACCTCCAGGAGAAGGAGAATGTCTGCCTCCCACCGTACTCCTTTTCTTTTTTTTAAACTATTGCTGCACAGCCTTATTTAGATCTTTGAATCAGAATGCATTTTTTTGTTAAAGTATGTTGTCACTGAGCATATGTCTGAGCAGTCTGCTTATTCGAGTACTTTGAGATAATTCAATAAAGTTATGAACAAAAATATTTAAGAATATGACAGTGCTGGGGTGGTCTTGGGTTCAACCCACCACTGTTGCATGTCCACTCTCTTCACTCGAAATGTAATGTGCCTCTTCACTGTGCTATCTATTAAGACTTTATTTATATAGAATAAAAAACAAAAATCGTACTTTTATAAAAGAATATGATTGCACTGGTTCCTATTTAGTCCTCTAACCCTGAAATGCAACGCATCGCATTTTTTAGTTGATGATTAAACTTATGGAAGTTTGAAAACAGCATGTTGATTGCTCTTTCTTGAGTCAATTTTGGTAGAAAACTCAAGATTTCACTTGCTGTGTGGTGTTCACTTTAACTTCTCTTTTCCTCTTTTTCACGAAGTTACTTAGTTCAGTTCTCAAGTTGTGTTTTTTCTAAAAATAATTTGGCTGTATTGGCTTTATTTTAAGGACTACTTTTAACTCAAGTTGTTGTTTTCATAAAGTGGCATTACGGCTTGATGACTTTTTTTTTGTTTGCATTTTTTGTGTTGATGTGCGGAAGAAGAAGCTGTCCCTGCCTATTTTTTTTTGTATCCTGACTTTCATTCCCTCTCATCGCCCGTCTAGGTGACAGATATGATGCAGAAAGCTCTATTTGACTTCCTGAAACACAGATTTGAGGGGAGGTAAGTAACATGGACAAATGATGTGTTGTTGGTGAGAGAAAGTCCTAAAGCTGACCGAAAAGCTTCATGGCACAATTTCCTTCCCTGCAGGATCTCAATCACACGAGTAACTGCTGACCTGTCTTTAGCCAAGAGATCTGTCCTCAACAAGAGACCCATAATGGAGAGATCCAACACCCGCTCCAGCTTAGGTGACCAAGCCAGTGTCTGCACGAAAAATACAGAAATATTTTGGTGTACGCAAGCAATGCCTTTAGTTAGAATGTGTCTTCTGTTTGCAGCGGAGGTTCAGAGTGAGATTGAAAGGATATTTGAGCTCGCCAAAACCCTGCAGCTGGTGATTCTGGACGCAGACACCATCAACCATCCCGCACAGCTAGCCAAAACCTCCCTCGCCCCCATCATTGTCTATGTCAAAGTTTCCTCACCAAAGGTACAGCAGGAGGTCTCATCTCTCACAGACATCACATTTACGCTGCTTCATCTTCCTTGACCTTCACCTCTATCTGCCCTCTCCTGTCAGGTGCTCCAGAGGCTCGTCAAATCCAGGGGGAAGTCTCAGAGCAAGCACCTGAACGTGCAGATGATGGCTGCAGACAAACTCTCTCAGTGCCCCCCTGTAAGTGGAGGAAGCGGACTCATTTTGTCTTGTGCTTTGTTGTTCATAATTTATCCTTACAGTAAGAAGCCATAATGGGGGGGGGGGGGGCTGAATGCACATGGCCCCACAGTCTCATGCCCTTCTATGGGCATGAAAGAGGTGCTTCTCGATTGTATTTTGGAAAAACTTTGCCCTTATAGGTTTGTCTTCTGAACTTTCTTAACACCAAATTGACAAAATGTAAAGTTTTTGTAATATCTTAAGAAGATTTTTCTTTTAAGGTTTATTTTTGGGGCTTTTATGCCTTTATTTTAGAGATAGGACCGTTGATAGAGTCATCAGGGAGAGAGAGAGAGTAGTGAACAGGAAAGGAGCCACAGTTCGGATTCAAACCCGGGCCATCCCGTTTGGAGGATTAGGGTAGTCACTGGTGCCTTAATAAGGTTAAACTGTACATTTTGATCAACTCTGCCATGAATGCTATGCAAGTATCCAGTTTGTAATGACCCGGTCAGAAAGGCATGAGACTAACTGTACTTTATGTTTATTTTTCAAGTCAAATTTGGCGGTGGTGTTGTTCTGGGGTTTATCATGGAACATTTAAAAAGTGGTTCTAATGTTCTGCCCCTGGTTTATGGGAAGCACAAAAAAAGTAGAAACGCCACAAAACTGGAACAATGAGCTGTTGCACATCCTCACAGTCGAGTGTACAGGTGAAGCCAGTGGAGAGGTAGCTGGTTACACAGTCTTAGATATTGTGACTTTTTACACACAAATATAGAACAAATACTGCGGTGTAGAGACTTTCCCATGATAAGGGATTTAAATGCTTGCCAGTTGTACAACATTACAAAGATTTCATTTTTTTCAGCGCTGTAGGTAAAACGACGTAATGACGTATTCATCATGCAAATGTTTTCTTTTTGCTCCCCTGCAGGATATGTTTGATGTCATTTTGGATGAAAACCAGCTTGAGGATGCATGTGAGCATTTGGCTGAATACATGGAGGTCTACTGGAGAGCCACTCACCTCCCAGGAAACACCCCTCTTAACCCCTTATTGGAGCAGAGTTTGATGACCCCACCTTCTGCCATCTCTAGCCTACAGGTGAGTCTGTCTGCATCTGTATAAACAAAGAGCAAGAGAGCATGAACATATTGTTTAAACAGTGTTACGTGACTCTTAAGTAGGAACCCTGCTCTGAACATGTTGTATGTTGTCACTGTCTTTACCAGCTCTTCCCATCTCCGATTCTCACTCCTTTGTTTTTGTTTGTTTCCAGTTGTCTTGTCTGTCCTCTCACTCATCCATGCTTAACATTTTTGCAGTTTTCTGAAACACAGGAATTAATTGAATGAGCGCTTACAAAACTGGGTGAGTAGTAGGGTTTATACAAAAATATAACTGTTTAATGCACTCTCGACCTGAACAATCCCCTCTGACACACCTCCCTACACCTGAATACGACACAACGGCTGAGACAATGAATGAAGAGCACTTTATTCATTCAGAGCTCACCTGAGAAAATATCTTTTTCTTACATTGCATCCTGCCTCCTTTCCTTAAGTTGATGGTCTCAGGTGAATCACTGCTCCACAAACTTTCAGGGAGAAAATTTGCAAAGCGGCTTCAGTTTCATACCATAACTGAGTATGTCCTGTTTTAAGTTTCCTTTTTTTTTATTTAAAATTTGAATGAAATGTCGAATCTGACCATCTGTTTTTCCAATTCATTCTTTTTCTCGCATGCTTTGTGAATGGTGTTTCCTCTCACAGCGGCACACATTAGCTTGGATTACCACCCGAATAAAAGGCATATGATCAATCAATGCTTTAATAATATATCCATCATTATCCACACAACCATCATCTAAAACCCATAACATCCGTACAAATGCATTTCATGTCCCAGAATAACCACCTGACCATCCGTTCAACTATGTCACTGACATTTGTTCTGTTGAGTTCTGTAGTATTAATCTCTAAACACACTAACAGTGTCAACACATTACCAAAAAGGACTTTGAATTGTGTTAGCGCAAACACTGCTGCATGAATACTAACGTTGTCGACTCCCTATAAACTGCACAATGTCATTTCAGGCCTTTTTGTTGTCGAAGGGGCTTTGGCTTTTATTGGAATAGGAGGGCTGTAAGGTTACAATAAATGCGGGGAGGGAGAGTGGGGGGATGACAGGCACCAAACAGCGTCAGAGTTGGGAGACCGACCAGGACCAGAGTGACGAGTAATGTAGCCTGTACTTCAGGCGCCTGCTCTTCAAACTGAACTAAACCAGCACACCTACAAATAATGAATTCTATTGACTTTGGAGGTATTCTACGCTGGCTCTACCATAAAGTTCAATTTTGTCCTGTTGGTATATTGCTCAACAATTACTGGATGACTTTTCATTCCAAAGAGTTACTAGCTGGTTTAGCCTTGCAGTAAGACTGTTGGCCCCATGTGTAGAGGCTAACGCAGTCATCCCTGGTGCAAGTCTGGCCCCTAACATATGCAGCATGTCATCCCCCCACTATCCTCTTCCTACATCTGCTGTCTCTCTCCACTGTCCTATATACTGAAGGCTCATATATACCAAAATTTTCCTTCAGAAAAAGAAGAGTATTTAGGTAATATTAGCATATTAGGCGTTCCAATGGAAGTATTTAGCTTGTTCATATCAGTAACTTCACAATATCTCATCATCGACTAGAGGCACCTAATTTGTATTTCAATGCATTTATTTACAAAAAGCATATTTTTAATGGTTATGCTTAAAAACATCAATATAGCATTAATAAGCACAGTTACAAAAAACAGTATTTGTTTATAAATCAGACTTTCAAAATCAGCACTTGTTTTTAATGATCCATGTTTTGATCAATGATTTCTATGCTCCCAAATTGGCTTCATCAGTGCTGTTTTGCTGCGGTGTTTGTTGCCGTCACAGCCAGCCCTTCTAGATTAAGATGATCAAAGTTCATTTTTTAAATAACCCAGAACTGCGTCTTATTTCTTCTGAAAAAAATCTGCAATATGCCCTCTTTTTTTCTTTTTTATCTGATCTGCTGAAGGCTGTTATTTTCTACTTTCTCTTCAGTAGATTTATTCCCACGTTTTACTCTAAAACCCCTTTAGGATCAGATCTCTTTGCAGGCATGACAGTTCAACCAACATACTGACAATCGTTGTTTTACACAACATTTCCTTCAAAGTCCTTCTTGTTGAGTGTTTGCATTTATTTCGTTATCCCTGTGTGTTTACTGCCTTATGAAAACTGTCTGTGCTGTTAGATTAGCAGTTAACAGTCTGACGCTACGTTGCGATCTTTTCCTGGATTTCAGAGTGTTCTTTTGACCATTTCTTTTCTTCCTTTGTAATTAATCACATGCTCAAGAACCAGAACAAGAACCAGCCGCAGCCTCGTGAGGGGGTGGGCTTGCAGCGTAACGAGGAGGAGGAGGAGGCAGGCGAGGAGGCCCACTCCCCCCTGGAGCAGGACAGTCTTATGCCGTCTGACGAGGCCAGCGACTCCCTGTCTCGCGGCCGGAGGGGGAGCCCGTGCCAAAGGGGGGGTGAGGAGGAAGATGAGGAGGAAGAAGAAGAAGAAGAAGAAGAGGAAGAGGAGGAGGATGAGTATGCCTCCCCTGTCCATGGTCGCACATACAGGGACATGTACCCCCCTCACCGTGGGCACACAGGCAGCGCCCACAGTGCTAACGGGCACGAGTCACAGGACAGGCTGCTCCAACGTGAAGCTCAGCAAGGTCACAACCAGAGGAACAACCGCCAGCGGAGCCGCCCCTGGCCTCGAGACACCTACTGAGGAAGACGAGCCCTCCTCCATCGGCCTTCAGACCACAATGAGATCCCCCTTCCCCCCCCCACCCGCCTGATGTCGTATGTTCCCAGTGATGAGATTTTAAAAAGTTGTCCTTAAATCTGCTCTTAACTTTAATCAGACACAAACCAAATACGACATCTTTATTTAAAGCATTGCAGTCACAATCTTCTCAACTCGTAGATAATTTAAACAAAGGGGATGTCTCGACCTCTCCAGGGTCGAGTCATTCAGATAAAGTCAACAGGGCTACCAGCTGTAAGCAAACTCAAACTGCTTTGCCTAAGGTTCCTCTATCGTAGGATGTCTCATATACTGGCCTTAAAATTCCTTAAAAGACTTTTAACTATCTTTACTATTGCATGTATGAGTATAATTATTTTAAGACTATTTGCACATTAATGTCAGAACAGGAACTGAATGATCTTTACGGATAAACTTACGTAGGAATGTCTACTGTTGAATCCATGTATGGGAAATAGTGATGCATTTGATTACAATGTAGATATATACTGAATGGGCACCTGGTTTTGTTTCATTGCTACTATATTTGTTTGATTTTGTTGATATAGACTTTGTTGTTTCAGAGAATATGTTTACCATCTATCAGTCAGTATGTCCTGTGAAGACGGCAAATGGCATGTGGGAGACACACACACACACACACAGACACACACAGACACACACACACACACACACACACACACACACACACACACACACAGACACACACACAGACACACACACACACACACACACACACACACAGACACACAGGGTTGGACTGAATCTCTGAATGGTCACAAGTAGAGCCCGATCGATATATCACATGGCCCATATTGTTGGCAGATAGCGATCTACCACATATATAGATGTTTTCTGATATTGATGCATTTTTTCAGAACATGGGATTTAGAAAACTGGGTTTGAGCTTTTTTGGATACATCATCTAGCCAATGATGGATGCAATCAGATGCAATAGTTTGTGTTGTTAAATATAGTATTTAGTTCCTTCTGCATTTCTTTGCATTGTCATATTGCTGCAAAGTCTTTATAGAAAAGGTCATTCCAAGCGAAAAACAATTCTCTATATTGACTGCTATGTCAGAAATGGGTTTTTTTCCCCCCATTGAAATAAATATTGGTATCCACCAATAAAATCCAATATTGATCGGGCTCTATATGTTAGTATGAAACTGCAGTACAGCATCAGTGTCGCCTATAAGAACAGTACAGTGCATTCTGGGCACCCCTTGCCTTGGCTGTTGCACAATCACCTCTGAAATCTTTTTTTTTTTTTTTTTAAAGAACGGCCAACCGAGAATGTAAAAAACAACTAAGGAAGAGAATGTTATCTTTTCGAGGATGAATGATTTGCCAAACTGCTTGTTTACATGAAATCATTTCCACATTTATCAAGCACATGCTGCACAGCTGCAGCTCCTCTTCAGATCCAGGCTTCAGAGAATGTAAGCTTGCATGCCTTTTGCACCTTCAAGCATCACCGGGTGTCTCCAGCCCAGCCGATCGCCCTGTAATTCGATTGTAGCACGTTATTGATTGTAGCATCCACAGTAACTTCTCTCACCCTCCTTTGTGCGTCTTTGACAAACATCACATTTACGTTGGTGTACTGCGGGTTTACAGATGATTATCAAGGCAGATCCTCAGGTGTACACACTCTTTGCGCTCCACAAAACAAATGTGTAGTGCTCCTAAAAAGGACTCGTAGCACCGGTTGACATGATTCATTCATTCTGTTCCTGCGTCATTATTCATCAGTGAGCCGATTATTTGAGTTTGGAGGCGATGCCAATGAAGTATCGAAAACCCCTTTTTGTTTTTTGTTTTTTAGGAGTTTACTTCTTCCATGTCTCACAGGTATCTCCTTATCTAGTGTTCTGTATATTTTGAAGAGAAAAAAAATCAGCATGATTGATTAAAAAAAAACAAAAGAAAAAAATCTATGCAAGTGTTGCATGAAATTCTGATTGTTTCTTTTGAACGTTAAGTATTTTAGTAATGCATTGATTCTGATTCTCCTCGTTGTCTTGTAGTGATGGTCTTGTCTTTGGGGCTACTCACTCCTCACGCCACTAACAACCCTCTGACTAAAAATCATTTGATTTATCCATTTATAGTGGGGACACTTCTTTTTCCACAATATTGGTTTTGACACTCGTTGATGCACTTTTAAAAGTCACTGGCTAAAAAGAAAACTTACCGGGTCCCAGATCAGGCCTCTGTTTTTTTTTAAATTTTATTATTGGTTAAAAAAAAGGGGAATGAGTGAATTAGTAAAGCCCTGCATGTGTTAGTTTACCAATTAGCTATTTTCATTCTATTTTGGCAGAGTATGTTTTTCAAAGCGGACCAATTTAGCAACTGATAAAACAGTTAAGGTTTTTCAATTTTTGAAGCACAATTTCTACAAGGGTTATAATTTAGTTTCCTCAGTCTTATTCTGTATGCAATACTAAGCCTAACATTGAAAAACTTTAAACGCCTTAGACCATCTGGACTTCCTCTTTTGTGTGAGTAGAGAATAAATAAAAAAAAATTGCACTACTTTTTTTTGGGATGGTTGCTTTGTAATGCAATAACTGCACTAAATATAGCCGTGTATCCACCAGACTACCACAGCGTGCTAGCGTGACCCAACACGCCTCTTCCCTCTATTTATCAAGAGACAGCAAATGTGTAAAAAGTGACATTTCCTGCCTGATGCTGTATAGAATGCTTTCCTTTTGAAAATAGATTTACAATGCTAAGTAAAATATGACTCAAACAAAATAAACATGACATTTTATGTACTTTTAATTGTGTGGCTCCTTTTTTTGTGTTAAACATCTCAAACTTTTGGTGCCTCTAAATTTGACAGGTAAGGATGAATTTGAAATTCTTTGTTGACCTCTAACTGTTCATTTAGGAAGATTAACTCATTACTTCAACACCTTTCTGCAGTGATCGTCTTCAGCTTCAGCCAAGTAGACAAAACTCTTAAAGCAGCAGGTTCAATATTACGTCTGTGACTGATCACGACTTGTTCAACAACACATATTGATTACAATTGGCAGGTAATAAAGTAGAATTACACAGCACAGTATTTCATGTATCCATGTCTACTGTTAGTATCCTTCTTTAATTTATCGCTTCATTTTTGCATCATTTTCAAAGTACTGTATTAGTGGTGTAGCGGAGCCTGAAGAAGTGGGCATACTCGTAATCCCCCCCCCCCCCAATTGCAGCATCATCCTGAATATTGTTAATCAATCAATAGTGTGAATCAGAGGAGATTTATAAGTGGGTATACTCTATGGAGACTGAAAAATAAGTGGGTATAATCCATATACCTGCGTATGCCCTGCACTACACCACTGCCTATTCTTTGTATTAATAAATGACTCTCCCTTTCTCGTATTTCTTTTTTCATTAAGAAACCATGTAACCAGGAAAATTCACTTTTAATCAACTCATCTACATTACTTACTTCTATTAGTACATACAAAACCAAGTCTGAATTATTCTCTTGCACAGGTTTACTTTTTTTTTTCCTTAGAGGGGCCATAAGGGTTAGCCCATCACCATCACCATCATTTAAGACTTCCACAGTCTTTGACTTACTTTAGTGGAGGGTAATGAGTCAGTAATCACTTCCATGTGTTGTTTTCACTTCATACAAATGTTTATATTTAAAACAATGAATTACACTGAAGCGATCATGAAGGGCCTTCACTTGACACATTGGTCTCTTCAACAGTCAGGAAATGATACGTTTTTGTGAGCAAAAAAACAAAAAAACAAAGCACTAACTACTTACCCACCCCCGCCTTCAGACTGACATCCAATTCCATTTTCTAACTGAAGAAGCCTTTATACAGTTCAGATCAGTGACATCAGGGTCCTGTTCACTTCTTATTTGAACAGAAGCAGAAACAAAAACATATCTAACACGGAGTCCACATTTATACAACTTGAAACTGAGCCCTGAAACAAGTGCAGCGAAGACGTATGCACCAGCTAATAATCTGTATTTTCCACCCACGGAGTTATTGTTAAAAATAGATTTACAAAGAGGGGGGGGGGGAGCAAGTTGCAAAGAGGTGTAAATAACCTGAAGACAAAACTCAGGGTGTAAAACAGAGATGTGCGAGTCCTTAAGAGATGTGACATGATAAAACAGTCCGAACATCCTGCTGTGTGCTTGTGTACGTAAATCAGGCAAAGATTGTCTCCTCGCGTCTCTTCTTGGTCAGGATGGTTCCAGGTTTGTGCTGGGCGTCTGGGTGGTTGGCCAGCTCTGGGGGACAGTTGGAGACCGGGCTCTCGAGGATGGCCTGCTTCAGGTCGTAGAACACAGCAGAGTCTTCTTTCGTCAGGAAAGTCATCGCCACACCGCTCTTACCGGCACGACCCGTACGACCAATACGATGGATGTAGTCTGAAGGAGAGAAGGAAAAAATAAATAAAAAATGGACCCATAAACAAACAGTCTTTAAATTCTGTTTTCCACAAAGACAATGTCAACAGTAACAAAGATTTGGAGTGAGGCTTCTTACCTTCAATGTTCTTTGCCATGTCGTAGTTAATGACCATGGAGACGTCGTGGATATCGATACCTCGACCAGCAACGTCTGTGGCCACCAGGATGTCTTTGGCTCCCGCTTTGAGGTTGGAGAGAGCAAACTCTCTCTGCTCCTGTCCTTTGCCACCGTGAAGTGTGCAAGCATTGTACTATGAGAGAGGAAGAGACAATTTCAGTTACATTCTTTTGAAAAATATTGTTTGGACTTTGGGAATTAAAGGATATAACAACTGAGTAATCCAGTTTTCCTCAAATGAATACCGTTAGGATTATTTTTCATTATTACTGATTTTTTTTTTAAATCATTTGGACAACATTAAAATACGACAGACTCACAATAACTTATTTTTTAGACTTTACTGAGATATGACGCAGCTTTGATCTAATAGCTCTCATGCTCATGATGGTTAAACTAGCATGATGTGCGTAAGAGGATTTAGTAACATTTTCTTATTAGCACTGAACACACACACAAGTAAAGCTGTGGATCATTATGTACTTTGTGTTTTAGTCATTGGTTTTTAAACTTAAGTACAAGGTGAGGTCAACATAAGATGTTGGTGATGAGGAGATCAGAGACCATGCACCCTTAAGTCTGAAATCTATGAAAAGCTTTCTCGCTGTAACTTCAGCTTTTAGCTTGAGTAAAGGCTGGCTGTCAAAAGATGTCATCACCTCCTCTGTAGGTACAATTAAAACCAGGAGGCATGTAAAGAACAATGTTTCTGTTTAACACAGTCAAAAGAAAGAAGTGACTTGATAGATTTACTAGTTTCTTATTAATATAGTATATAAAGTGAGTAACAGTTGAATATTTTTCAGCAAGTCTCTTCTGTAACATTTAACAGTTTATTGCATTTTCATTTGAAAATGGGGCTACGGTGCTACTCGAGATATAGATTTTTAGGTCATGGTTGTCATAAAGGTGAGTGTCTTTTTAAAATTTACAGACTTTGAAAAACTTTCGGTCTCAAGCTAAATGAAGTCCGAGTGACGAAGTGACGAAGTTTGGGAAAACACAAACTTTATTATTATTTTGCATGATAGATTTCTGTTTTTGAGAGTGGGACGTGCATCGATCAGTGTGTAGTAAACTTTGGATCGGGTCAAACAGACCTGATGATTATCTGAGTTTTTGAGAATAAATATCTAAGAATGTAATTATATTAATAATATAAATGATGTGGTCATGTCTACAGCAACTTACCCCCATCTTCTCCAGGGACTTGGCCAGCACATCCACACCCTTCTTCTGGTTGACGAAGATGATAATGGGAGGCTCGAACCCATGCGCCAACACCTCCAACATCTTCTTCCTACACCACAAAACATTTTTTTTTACAACACTCAGCATCACATTGACAGATATAAACATTATGTTGAAGATTTAAAGTCACATAATTTGTGAATCTCACCTCTTCTCTCCCTCTGACATCAGCAGAACCTTCTGTTCAACCCTCTCGTGAGGTTTGCCAGCAGATCCGATGTAAACCACAGCAGGGCGTCTCAGGTAGCTCCTGGCCAGCCGCTCCACAGCCGGAGGCATCGTAGCTGTGAACATGACCGTCTGAAAAGGTGCAAAAAAATAATAAAGACAAATAAGCGGTGAGAGCGCTGTCTGTTTTTAGACTGATGTTTCAAAACGTCCGGCCGATCAACATACTTGTCTGTATTTATGTTTTCCAGATTCAAAGTTCATCATCATCTTCTCAGGGTCCTCCGCCTCCTCCGTGTCTGGTTTCTGATTGGTCACTGGGATGTACTCCAGAATCTTCTGGACGTCTGGCTCGAAGCCCATGTCAATCATACGATCGGCCTCGTCAAGAACCACGTATGTACAGCGTCCAAGAACCAGGTACCGGTTCTCCAGTACGTCGATCAAACGACCGGGGGTGGCGATCACAATCTGGTAAGAGAGGAAAAACAAAAACAAACAGTTACTAAATGTTTGTTAACACAGCATGGACACCTTGTGAATGCAGCAGGACGAGGGGCTGCAGTAGAAAAGAAATCTGTTTTACTACAGCTTTAGAACTGCTGTGCTCTTTTTAACCCTTTGAAGTTTTGCACTGGATTTACAGGCTTTCAGCAGAGTGGCCTCATTTCTCACCTCACAGCCCATCCTGAGACGGAAGCCCTGGTCCTCTCTGGAGATTCCTCCAATTACAGCCACCGTCCGGATGCCGAGCGGTTTACCAAACTTTATGGTCTCCTCTTCGATCTGCTGTGCCAACTCACGAGTCGGAGCCAGGATCACAGCATAAGGACCCTGGTCTGAGTCTTCGATCCTGCACAAACAGCCAATCAGAGAGAAGAGGAATGTCATAAACGCTCATCTGAGTTAACTACGATGAAGTGAAGGTCGGTGAAACATTATGAATGGAATTAAAATGAACGTTTTAAGTTTGGGCTGTTACCTGTCAATCTTTGGCAGGGTGGTAATCCAGACCAGCAGTGGAATCAGGAAAGCAGCTGTTTTACCGCTACCTGTCTCGGCCACACCGATGATGTCACGGTTCTGTAAACCAATAGGAATGGCCTGCCTCTGAATAGGTGTTGGATCCTGGATTTTGAGAGAAAAAAAAGGCAGAGTGACTGATTAATTGTGGGAAAGAAAAAAATCCAGTTGCAGGGTTAATTGAGAAACAAAAAAAAAAGGTAAAATAAATGAATTGTAGCTTTTAAAATCAAGAGCATGAACAAAATAATGTCTTTTTTTTTTTTTTTAAACTCTCCATCACTCTGTATTCCTCTTTTAAAAGCTTCAACACAGGGGGCTCTGTGAGCTGACCTTGTAGCCACATTTTTCGATGACCTCCAGGATGTGAGCAGGCAGCGCATACTCCTTCCAGTTCCTGATGGGGTTGGGGATCTTTCCTCCCTTTGTGGTGATGCTGTAGTCCTCTCTGAAGATTCGCCAATCTCTGTCAATCATCTCTTCCAGCTTCTTCTGAGACCAGTGTCTGTCGTCCCAGCGCTGCTTGGCTTCCTTCTTACGCATCTTCTTGAGCCTCGTCCTGAGGGACAGAGAGGTTTGAGGTCAAACAGATGGCAAGGTGACTGTTACATATCAAGATTTGTGGGATTTTCTCTCAGTACACTTGAACTTTTAGCAAGGTTTACTCACTCTTCCTGCTCCTTCTCTTCCAGCGTTCGCCTTTTCTCCATCAGGTCACCATAGAAATGTGACTGATCTCTTTTCTGCTGCTTCAAGTCGATGCCGGCGAT